TGCTCTATATGCAGAAGGGATAAAGGTAGCACAGGAATGATTCAGTGGAACGATTTTTTCCTATCTGATAATGCTATTATTGAAACACCCACCTTCTATTCAGTAGTATCTTGGAAACTTGCGTATGATTTGGCTCACCAAAGATTGGAATTCAGAAATTAAATGTCAAGCACGCTAAGTAATATGACCTCATTACAAGATAGGCATTAAGGCAATAGTCGCAAGCATGAGTCAAGAGAATTATGTGAGCCTAAGATCGCTACAAGAATCCTAGGCTTGGCCAGGCCCGGTGGCTCATGCCTGTAATCCCAGCACTTTGGGAGGCCAAGGTGGGCAGATCATGAGGTCAGGAGATCCAGACCATCCTGGCTAACACGGAGAAACCCCGTCTCTACTAAAAATACAAAAAAAAAAAAAAATTAGCCAGGCGTAGTGGTGGGTGCCTATAGTCCCAGCTACTTGGGAGGCTGAGGCAGGAGAATGGCATGAACCCAGGAGGCAGAGCTTGCAGTGAGCCAAGATCAGCCACTGCACTCCAGTCTGGGTGACAGAGCTAGACTCCATCTCAAAAACAAAAAAAAAGAAAAAAAAAAGAATCCTAGGCTTTTAGAGCTGAAGTAGATCAAAGATCGCTTATCTGGCCCTTTCACATTTCAAGATGAGTTTGAGGCATTCTGCTTACACACATAATCTCATTAAACTCCCTTATTCAACAAAAACATTAATGTCATTTTATGCACCAGGCTCTCCTCTGGGTGCTAGAGATAAGGAGTAAACAAAATAGACAAAGTTTCTACCTTCATCAATCTTTTATTCTCAGTAAGCAAAATAAATGAGTAAAATAATGATGAGTTGGAAAAAGATAGCCCCAAGGAGAAAAGACAAACCAGGGAAAGGGGCTGTGAAATATCATGGGAAGAAGATAGAAATGCTCAGAAAGGAGTCATCTAAGTCTTCACTTTACACACTGTTGAGGAAAGAGTTTAAAAAGTTGGGGCACTAGCGATACAAATGTCCAAGGGTAGGTTATTCAAGGCAGAAAGAACAGCAACTGCAGACCCTGGGTGGGAACACCTCTGCCCCATCCAAGGAACACCAAGGAGAGGAGTGTTGCTGGAGGGAAAAGTCGAAAGTGGTGAGGTCAGGGAAGCAACAGGGGGTGAGATTTTTCAGGGCCTTGGGGATCACGGCCCTTTTACTTTAAGCGAGCTGCGAAGCCACTGGAGGGCTGGAGCAGAAGAGTGACATGGTCATATTTATGCTCTAACGGAACGACCCCATTGCCATATAGACTGAAGAGGGGCAAAGGTGGAAGGAAGCTTTCAAGCTGAAAAGAATGGTACCAGTCAGATAGGAGAAATTGTTGAATTCTGCATATATTTTGAGGGCAGGACCAGCAGGATCTGTTAGTGGATGTGGAGGTGAGAGAGAGGAGACAAGGAAGAGTCCAAAATGTCTGACATGAGCAAGTGGAGAAATGGAGCTGCAATTTGCTGAGATGGGGGAGACCATGGGAGACCCCCATCTGAGATGTATGGTGGACATTCAAATGAATGTGTCGGGTGGGCAGTTAGGTACTCAGGACTATGTGGGATGGTTTGTTTTTTGTTTTTTTGAGACAGAGTCTTGCTCTGGCACCCAGGCTGGAGTCCACTGGTGCAATCTTGGCTCACTGCAACCTCCACCTCCCAGGTTCAAGCAATTCTCCTGCCTCAGCCTCCTGAGTTGCTGGGATTACAGACCCGCACCACCACACCTGGCTAATTGTGTTGTATTTTTAGTAGAGATGGGGTTTCACAATGTTGGGCAGGCTGGTCTCAAACTCCTGACCTCAGGTGATCCGCCAACCTCAGCCTCCCAAAATGCTGGGATTACAGACGTGAGCCACTGCGCCCAGCTTCAGGATAGTTTTTAAGCCTTGAGAATGGATGAGATTGGCTAGTGTATGAGCGTAGATAGAAAAGAGAAATCCAAGTTTGGGGTTCTGGGGCACTCCAACATTAAATAATCAAAAAGAAGAAGAGGAACCAACAAGATGAACCCAGAAGAAGTGACAGTGAGACAGGAAGGAAAATAGAGTATGTGTCCTGGAAGCCAAAGAAAAGCAGAGCGGTCAAATGGGTCGAATGCTGCTGTCAGGTCAAGGCAGGCAAGGACAGTGGCTTGGCCAGTGGATTAGCAATGGGAATGTCATTGGAGATCTTGGAGTGGGCAGTTTCAGTGGGGCAATGAGGGTGAAAGCATGATAGGAAGGGAGGACAGCACTTGGGGAGAATATTCTTCCAAAAAGGTTTCTTTACTCTGAAGAGAAAGAATCAAATAAGATAAGCAGCTGGAAGGGTCTAGTAGACCTGTGAAGTGGTGCTATTGTCACCATGCACCCACGCTTTGATAGAATAAAACAAATTGCCCAAGTTTTTTTTTTTTATTATTATGGTATATGTTGAGAATCAGTTATTCTGAACCCAGAGCCCACATTCTTAACCTATGCTCCACAACAAGGGATGAAAGCAAGAACTTCATTTATTGGTACACCTATGGGAACCAGCACAGGCCTATGGGCAAAAAAGAGCCAAAAGAAAATTATGGAATACTTAAAGGAAACAGACTATTAGTCTTAATTTTTAATTTTCTATATACTATATACCTATGCCTAATTTAAATTTTGTATATACTCTCAGCCTGGTGCAGTGGGTCACACCGGTAATCCCAGCACTTTGGGAGGCCAAGACAGGTGGATCACTTGAGGTTAGGAATTCAAAACCAGCCTGACCAACATGGTGAAACCCCGTCTCTACTAAAAATACAAAAATTAGTTGGGCATGGTGGTGCACACCGGTGATTTCAGCTACCTGGGAGGCTGAGGGATGAGAATCGTTTGAATCCAGGAGGTGGAGGTTACAGTGAGCCAAGATTGTGCCACTGCACTCCAACCTGGGCGACAGAGCAAGACTCTGTCTCAAAAATTAAACAAATTAATTAATTACATAAAATAAATTTCTCTAGACACTCTCATATATATATATCTTTCTCATGTTATTTTAACTGGAATTCTATGATGGAGAAAATGAGTGTCTTTTCTACAAATGTCAACTTCCCATTGGAGAAAGTAGCTGTCCAGGATTGGTCTTCCAGGGAGGCAGAAGCAGTATCCCTTAAGATTTTCAGTATTTATTCTCAGTAATTTCCATACCTGACCTCTCATCAAACACATCCATTTATCCATACATTCATTCAACAAACATTCCTGATCTCCTATGTCCCCAAATCTCTTCTAGAAGCTGGGGATGCTACAATGATAAAAAAAAAAAACCACTAAGATCTTAGTTCTCACGAAGTTTACATTAAATGGGAAAGAGGCAGACATTTGAAACATAACAAGTAGAGTTTTGGATGCTGACAAATATAATTTTTAAGCACTTTATGGCATAGAGTAAAATCAGCACAGGCTACTTCAAATAGGTGGGAAAGTCTCTTCAGGTGGCTGACATCAATTGAAACTGAATAAAGAAAAGGAAGCAGCTTTTCCTAGCTCTAGGGAAAGCTGGGTCCACAAAACAAATGAGTAAAAGACCCTCTCTTAAGTCTTAGAAGAACAAGCTAAAGAAGTTGGAAGTACAGTGAGGGTACACAAGTGAAGTTTTAGAAGTTAACAGTGCAGGATAAGCCAAATCCCACAGGGTGCGGATTGTATTCTCAGCATGGTAGGAAACTATTGGAGATCTTGAATTCAGATTCCACTGGCTCCTAGTGGCAGATGGATTGTAAGAGATGAGGGAGAAAACCAGGAATCTAGTTGAAAAGCCACTGGAATGGCCCAGCCAGAGGGAATGGTGGCTGGAATGGAGGGTTGGACTAGGCTGGCAGCTGGAAGGGATGTTAGACCAAGAAATCTGTGCTATGGAAAGAGGGATAATCTGATGGATTCACAGAATATTTTGGACTTAGAGCTGGCAGAATGGATAAAGCAATGCGGGGGTGGGGGTGGGGGTGGGGTGGAATTAATGATCACAAGAGAGAAACAAAAAGTGACCACCTAGGTTTCTGGCAAAAAAACAGGCTGGGTGATGATGCCTTCTACTGGGAGGGCACAGTCTGAGGAAGCAGCAGGATTGGGATGGGACTGGAAAAAAGAAATCATGAGATCTCGGTGTGATACCTCATCAGCGATGTTGGATATGTTGCTGGGAAAAGTGAGACATTCAACCTTAAATTCAAGTCCCATCCCTCATAAAGCTATTCTAAACCAAACAGGTCCAAAGTGTCTTACCCTCCTTTGAAATCTTTATGACACTTCTATCCAAACTTCATTGGGCAAGTGTATTTGGTTATCTTCTGCCTTGTGGCATGTTTTGCAGATTTTTTTGTTTGGTTGTTTGTTTATTTGCAGATGTTTCTAATTTAGAAAATGAGTTCCGAATTAGAACCCAAGAATTCCACTTCTATTTCTGTCCCTAACAAGCTGGGTGATCAATGGGTGTCACTTATTCTTTAAAGGTGGACATGTCCTCACCTAAAATTAGAGTTAGGCAAGGATTAGGTAATTAATGTATTGCTTATGTTACTAAGTAATAGTTAAGTAATTTATTCCATAATTACTTCACTCATTGAAATCAAGGACTATGAACTTCGTTAAAGGTTCATAGCACAGAGCACAAAGCGTGTAAGCAGTAGGCACTCAATAAATTCAGAAGGACTGATATGCATGCACAGTCAAGCTAAACTCTTTAAATTCCTAAAAGAGTAATTGTTAATGTTTTGAGGAAGAGTCCAGCATCTGAAGGAATGAGGGGCACAGGTTGGGAAGTGCCCGACTTCCTGTCCCACCTGGGGACCCCGCCGCCCCTCAGTCCCCGTGCCCTCCTCCGTCCCAAACCCTCCCAGTCTGGAAGCCCAGGGTCCCACGTGGGGCTGACGGGCCGGGCTGGCGCGTACCTGGCGGATAATACCGAAGCAGGAAACTCTTGAGCTTCATTTTCCTGTTCTGCTATCCCCGGCCGATGGGCTTCGTAGCCATGGAAACGGCTAACAGCAGAAGGACGCGGGTGCGCATGCGCAGGTTGCCCCAAGCGGTCCCGGGACGCAGAGCCGGGAGATCGGTCTCCGGGAGCCGCTGCGGGTACCCCGGGGCTCCAGTGCTCGGGAGGCGAGTGTTCTGGAGGTGTCTAGAGTGAACGGGGTGGGGGCACCTCGTGTTCTCACTAAGGGCGACCTCAGAGGAGCTAAACATGGCCGGGAACCGACGGCCTAGGCCAGAGCCTGGGCTGCATGCACTATTTTAGCACATTCGTTTCCCAAAAGGAAGGGCAGGAGGAAAAGCCCGCGCTGGTTACCACTCAGAGCCCCAGCCCGTGCCCTGTCCTTGTCCTCCCAAAAGAAAAATGACCTCAACTTAATATCCTGCGTTTCTTGACTCTGTGCCACACGTTGCACTAAACGCTGTATGCACACATACTCATATAATCCGAACAAGGTGTGAGTTATGTACCACTTCTTAAGGATAAAGTAACTGAGCATTAGAGAAAGTGGAGAACTACCAGAGGTCGCAGCCTAAATGGATAGTAGAGGCAGAAATTGAAGGCAGGTGCGTCGGAACCTACACCAGAAAGCCTGCACCTGTACTCTCAACCTGGGCTTAAAACTCTCCAGGCCTTCATGCGGCCTGTCCTATTTCTTGCCAGCATCGTTGTTTGCCTGCCACGTTTCCATCAGGAAACCTGTGGAGAGAAAGAGTCAGCCAGCCAGCTTGTCAATTTCCTTTAAGAAATTTGGCCTAAATCGGAATTTCCCAAACTTAAGTAATTCCTGTGTTATCTGCACAACTATGAGCCATATCTCGCCTTACCTCTTCCAGAGATCCATACCTAAGTTTTCTTTAAGTTATTAAAATGTCTCTAGATTGACTCACTTATTTTACTTCACTTTGTAAAATGTAATTTTAAAAATTACCTTTACTTTTACGGTTACTGGCTGTTTACTGAAAATTATATGAAATTCAATCCCACCTGTGAAGTTTTCATTTCTAAATTTAAAATTATATGAAATGTTCAGTAAACAGCCAGTAACTGTAAAAGTAAAGGCAATTTTTTTAAGGTGTTGAATTGGTCGTTAAGGGCTGGGCCATCAGGAACTTGTGCGTCTGTCTCAGGGAGACCTGGCCTTCAGAGATGACAGCATTCGGCCCCAGGAGGAGCCTGCAATCTGTCCTCCGTCTTCCCAGCTTGTGCCCCCCATAGGGATACAGGACAGTAAGGAGCTAAACAGAACCTGCTGCCTGAATGGGGGAACCTGCATGTTGGGGTCCTTTTGTGCCTGCCCCCACTCCTTCTATGGATGGAACTGTGAGCACGACATATGCAAAGAGAACTGTGGGTCTGTGCCCCATGACACCCGGCTGTCCAAGAAGTGTTCCATGTGTAAATGCTGGCACAGCCAGCTCCGCTGCTTTCTTCAGGCATTTCTACCTGGCTGTGCTGGCCTTGTGATGGATGAGCATCTCATGGCTTCCAGGGCTCCAAAACTACCACCGTCTGCATGTACCACTTTTATGCTAGCTGGCATCTGCCTTTCTTTTTTCTTTTTTTTTTTTTTTTTTTTGAGACAGAGTCTCACCCTGTCGCCCAGGCTGGAGTGCAGTGGCCGGATCTCAGCTCACTGCAAGCTCCGCCTCCCGAGTTCAAGTGATTCTCCTGCCTCAGCCTCCCGAGTAGCTGGGACGACAGGCGTCCGTCACCTCGCCCGGCTAGTTTTTTTTTTTTTTTTTTTTTTTTGTATTTTTTAGTAGAGACGGGGTTTCACTGTGTTAGCCAGAATGGTCTCGATTTCCTAACCTCGTGATCCGCCCGTCTGGGCCTCCCAAAGTGCTGGGATTACAGGCTTGAGCCACCGCAGCCGGCCGGCATCTGCCTTTCTATACAAAGTTACTATTAATTGCCGTTGACCTATTTCCAGAAATACAATTTTAAATATCATGCAAATTTCATGACCTGCTGCTACAATGTCCTAACTGAAAGATGATCATTTGTTAGTTGCCTTAAAATAATGAATACATTTCCAAAATGGTCTCTAACATTTCCTTATAATGCCAACTACTTCTTACCTCTTTGCCCTGCCCTCCCCACAAAAACTACTTCTTTTGTCAAAAGAAAGTCAGCCATATCTCCATTGTGCCTAAGTCCAGTGTTTCTTGATACATATAATTCTACCAAGGTCTTCTTAAAATGTTATTTTAAACAATTGAATTATATCTCCAGATTATTAAAGACTAATCCTAATGTGGACCTTAGGATACAGTTTTGAGTAGAGTTGATAAAAATCAATTAAAATAGTCTCTTTAAAAGGAAAGAAAGCCTCTTTAAGGAGAGGAAACAGAGGGTTGAAGGAATGGAAGTTCATCTGCATGTATGCAGGGAGACTGGGTAGGAAAGAGGAAGCAAATGGGAGAGAGAAGTTGGAAAACATAAAATGGGTTACTTGATGGTGATTAGGTGGGTGTAGAGAAGCAAATTAAAAGGCTAAATGGAAGGGCAAGTTTCCATCGTCTGTAGAAAGCTATATGAGACAAGGACTCCCATTTTTTTCCCAAAGGTGTTGTAAAAAGAATGAAGTCTCCTTATAAAAATAAAATTATGCCTCAATGTCCCCAACAAGATTGCTTAATAAATTATGTCTCCTCCAAGCTATGCAATTCTTTTAACTGTTATAGAAAATGTTCACAATATATTTAGTTGTAAACCAAGTGATAAAACTACATATTGTAATGTCAATTTTTAAAATACATTGTATATATGTGTATGCACAGTAAAAATAGAAAATATATTGATCTAAAGGCATTGAATTACTATATACTACTATATATTACTATATTACTATATACTAATTACTATATACTGCCACAAAGACTCTGAACCCAAAACCATTCCTTTCTTTGTAAATGAAGGAAGGAAGGAAGGAAGGAAGGAAGGAAGGAAGGAAGGAAGGAAGGAAGGAGGGAGGGAGGGAGGGAGGGAGGGATGGGAGAGGGAGGGGGGAGGGAGGGAGGGAGGGAGGGAAATTAGCAACTGTTTGAGATAGTTAAGACAGGCTACAAGATGGAATAGCACCCAACTGAGCCTTCCTACTTGATGTGTTCAGAAGATTGAAAAGATCATTGAGATGGCAAAGCCTTTGCTACTAAGTGACACAATTTAACCTAATATAAACATGCAACACATTTTAAAAAAAAAGAAAAATCATCTTTTTCTCACCAGTAGTAAGCATCCCATACTTGGAAAACAGCAAACCATATGAAATCCAAGCTCTCTTCCAGCTCAAACTTTCTCCTAGCCATTAAGACACTCCGGAAGGACACATGGAGGGTGGGGCAAAGAGTTTGTTCTATAGAAATGAGAAAGTCTTTGGTAGATTTTGGTCACCTATTTATTGCTTGTGCTCATGCCATTTAAAATGCCATCTTTGGGCGGGGCATGGTGGCTCTTACCTATAATCCCAGCACTTTGGGAGGCCAAGTTAGGAGGATTGCTTGAACCCAGGAGTTCAAGACCAGCCTGGGCAACAAGGCAAGATCTAGTCTCTACAAAAAAATTAATTAGCTGGGTGTGGTGTGCGCCCCTACAGTCCCAGCTACTCAGGAGGCTGAGGGAGAGAGCACTTGAGTCAGGGATGACATTACCAATAGTGGGATGAACTGACATATATTACCTGATATTACAATGCACTGAAGAGAACACAGCAAGGCCGGGTGCGGTGGCTCACGCCTATAATCGCAGCACTTTGGGAAGCCAAGGTGGGCGGATCACGAGGTCAGGAGATCCAGACCATCCTGGCCAACATGGTGAAATCCCATCTCTACTAAAAATACAAAAATTAGCTGGGCGTGGTGGCGCGTGCCTGTAAACTCAGCTACTCGGGAGGCTGAGGCAGGAGAATCGCTTATACCAGGGAGTCAGAGGTTGCAATGGGCCGAGATCATGCCACTGCACTCCAGCCTGGCGATAGAGCAAGACTCTGAAGAAAAAAAAAAGCAGCAATTCTCTGGAATTCCTGCCCAAAATGAATTACTTGACTCAAATCATAAGGAAACATCAGAGTAAACCAAACTGAGGAAATTGTACAAAATAATCGTTGACAGTCAAGGAAAGAAAAGTCTGAAGAAATATTTGAGATTAAATAAATCTAAAGAGGATGACTAAATGCACTGAGTGATGATAGATCCTGAACCAGAATAATAAGTACTTACAAAAGACGTCATTGAGACAATGGATGAACTCTGAATAGGGATTGTGGTTTAGATAATCGTGTTATATCGATGTTAAGTTTCTTGACTTTGATCATTGTACTGGTTATGTAAGAGAATGTCCTTGTTCTTAGGGAAAGCATACTGATTTATTTCAAAGTAAAGGGGCATGCTGGCACCCTGATCTCAGACTTCTAGTCTCCAGAACTGTGAGGAAGAAGTTTCTGTCGTTTTTGAGTCACCCAGTCAATGGTACTTGTTATGGAAGCCTGAACTAAAACATTCCCACCAGGACTTGCCTTGAACAACCAGAAACTAAATAATGAATAGCAGTAATTTTAATCTGCTAAGCCAATCCAGTCTAACACAGTGAAGTCACTCTGGGTTTCAGTTATCCAAGTATGGTCCCCAAACCAGCAGGGTCAGTATCACCTAAGAATTCATTAGCAATGTACACTCTCACCTCCCCCGAGTTCCAACCTACTGAATCAGAAACACTGATGGTGAGGTCCGACAACCCGTGTTTAAATGTGCTTTCCTGGTGATTCTAATGAATGATGAAGCTTGAGAGCCACTGTGCCAGCTTAATAGGTTACACTGACTTGGACAGAATGAAGCAAGTGAAATTGGGCTTCGTCTCCCATGATCAGGTATTTCTGTGTATTCCAGGCAGTCTTCCTTGATTGTCAGGAACAGTAAACTGGTTGTTCAGTCACACGCTCGAATGTACATGAGACCCAGAAACAACATGGGAAGAAGCTGGAATTCTCTACAAAATTGGGTTTCAGATGCTCCAATGCACTGAGAGAGGACAGTGGACATCAGGCTGAGGGAGGAATCCAAAGGTACCTGGGAGGGTGGGAGTTGGGGAGGGAGGTAGTCTCTAAAATCAAAATATGTATGGTGAGTGTGGCGGCTCATGCCTGTAATCACAGCGCTTTGGGAGGCCAAGGCAAGAAGATTGCCTGAGCTCAGGAGTTTGAGACCAGCGTGGGCAACAGGGCGAAACCTGGTCTCTACAAAAACTACAAAAATTAGCCCAGTGTGGTGGCACTTATCTGTAGTCCCAGCTACTCAGGAGGCTGAGGTGGGAGGATGGCTTGAGCCTAGGAGGTGGTGGTTACAGTGAGTTGAGATCACACCACTGCACTCTAGTATATCTATATAGCATAGATAAACTATATGGATGTAGTATATCTATACATACATATATATATGGATGTAGTATATCTATACATACATATATTTACATTTATAGAGAGAGAGAGAAGGAGGAGGAGGAGAGAGGGAGGAAGGAGTCAGTCTGGGAGATCCAGAGTCTATATTTTTGAGGCTGGGCAAGGTAAGGGAGGAAGAGTTCCGGCTGCGGCTAGGCTTGGTGGATTCCATTTGGCTCAGCTTCTCCTGGAGAAAGCTGACATCAATGAGATGACTGCATCACTGCTGCTGGGGGCCTCACCGAGAGTAGCACATAAAAAGAGAGATGCAATCCTCTCCTAGAAAAAAAAGACACAGATGCTCAGAGCCAGGCAGGAGCAGTCTGCTGTGCACAGGGTTTAAAGGTAGCCTCGTCACAGCAGGCCCCAGAGCAGAGGAACTGCATCAGGGTGGAGGCCTATGGACCAGACATCGCCATCTACCCTCTTCGTCTGCCTGCCTCCATCCCCACAGCAGGACTCAAAAGCATCTGATCTTACCTGGGACTTGAAAACTGACAGGGCCAGGGCCACTAATTGTATCATTCAATAAATATGTTTAAGGACCTGCTAGCACCAGGCATGCTGCTCTTATAGATCTAATTCTGAAAAATATTGCAAGGGAGTTATTCACAGAAAGAATCAGACTTTGGGTGAGTTTGAAATGATTGTAGGTTGCCAGGCGCAGTGGCTCACGCCTGTAATCCCAGCACTTTGAGAGGCCGAGGCAATGGATCACCTGACGTCAGGAGTTCGAGACCAGCCTGACCTATATGGTGGAACCTTGTCTCTACTAAAAATACAAAATAAGCTGGGTGTGGTGGTATGTGCCTGTAATCTCAGCTACTTGGGAGACTGAGGCAGGAGAATCGTTTGAACCCAGGAGGTGGAGGTTACAGTGAGCTGAGATCACGCCATTGTACTCCAGCATGGGTGACAAGAGCGAAACTTCATCTAAAAAAAAAAAAGAAAGAAAGAAAGAAAGAAATGATTGTAGGTCAATGGGAGACAGACCTCTAGATGTGACCAAATTTACATTCACTGATGGGTCAATGCCAGTACATGGCAGGCTGATAAACAGCCAGCACAGCTGATAAAACAGCTTTGCCACTGAGGCATTAGAGCAGAATGCCTGACTTGAAGCCTACA